GGCCTCGGCGATCGAGAGTCGGCGCCCCGACAGGCTGCCCAACCCGGCACAGGCCGCCGCCGGGCCGCTGCCGCCGCCGGCCGCCGCCGCTGGCTGCCGCCGCCGTCGTTCGGCCGCCGCCGCTGGTGGCCGCCGCCGCCGCCGCCGCTTGACTGCCGCCTGACTACCGCGCGCGCCCACCGCGCTTGCGCGGGGGGGGGTGGGGCCGAGGGCACCTCGGCTTCCGCCGACCGGCGGCGTCCGGCGCCGCGTTGGGCGCCACCTCGCCATGGGGGAAGCGGGTCTTGAGGGAAACGGGTCTTGAGGTTTTCCCTTGTTTTCGGGCCCTCGGGGCCCTCCTCGGGCCCGGGGGGGAGTGAGAAGGAGCGGGCCTTCTAAGAATGTTCGGAAGTCCCCCAGCATGCTGAGAAGTTGTCTGAGCCTTCCCCGAAGGCGCAGATCAGAAGACCAGAGGGTTTCTGCGAACCCCCGCCGCCTTTCTGGCGGGTGCTAAGGGGGGTGACCTGAATGGGGGGTGAAGAAAATGCTCCCAAAGGGCTCCTTTGGGGCCCCTTTCGGGCCCGTGCTGGTCCCAAAAGGGGCCCTGAAGGGCCCCCTTAGGGCCCTTTTCTTCATTCCCAATTTAGGTCACCCCCCATTGCACGCCGGTCGCTGAAAGTAGGTATTTCTGGATTCCCAGATCCCAATCTACTTCAAGCGCCTTCCTACTTCAAGAATCGACACGCCTTTGCTGTGTTTTGTTATTCCCTGGAGGGGCCTGGACCCAATCAACTTCAACCGCCTTCTTACTTCATGCTTCTACCTACTTCTTCCGACCGGCGTGTGCCACCCGCCCGAGCCTTCTGAGAAGGCCTTCTCCTTCTCACTTCCCCCCCTCACTTCCCGCCGAATGACGACGCGAGCCCTCGACCGCCGCCTCGCCCCTCCGGGCGCCGCCGCGCACGCCTCGCCAGATCCGGGGCCTACGACCACAACCACGACGACGACGACGACCACGACGACGACGACGACGACAATGACGACGACGACGACGACGACGACGACGACGACGACGACGACGACCACGACGACGACGACGACGACCACGACGACGACGTCGACGCCTGCAGGAGACGTGCGCGCCGGCGAGTAGGTCGGAGGCCGAGGGCGGCAGGAGCGCGCCCGATCTGGCGGCGGGCGGCCCTCCGCCTCGTCGGGCCTCGGCTTCGCGGGCGCGGCGGCGTCGCCGTCGCCAGCCGTCCGCGCCGCGTGCGCGCGCGGAGAGTTCGAGCTCGTGCCAGGAGTTCCACCACCGCCTCCTCCCCCTCCTCCCCCTCCCCCTCCTCCGCCTCCTCCTCCCCCTTCTCCCCCTCCTCCTCCTCCTCCTCCTCCTCCCCCTCCTCCTCCTCCTCCTCCTCCTCCTTCCCTCGTGGAGGATAAAAAAGAACCCCTAACCTAATAGCACGATGGAGACGTGGCCTCACTGAGGTCCCCGTCTTCGCATCAGGGATCGTACATCTGGGCAGTTTGGTTCGATACATGTGCAGAAAAGATCCCATTGTATCCCTAATGTTCCAGACCCTCCTAATTTGGGTCCCCTCCAACAGGGTTAGGGGTCTTCTTATGCCTGATCATCCCCACTCCCTCCTCTCATGTCTCAGCTCCCTGTTCGTTTCCCCTTTGTCCCCCTCCCCACCCCTTCTCTCCTCCCCTCCCCACTTCCCTCCTGCATTCTCCCCCCTCCTGTGTATTGTCATCCCCCTCCCCCTTCCCTTTGCTCCACCTTTGTCTCATGCTTCCTTATCCTTTATCCTTTGCCATCATGTGCTATTCCGCCTCTTCCTCCTCCTCCTCTTTCCTCTCGCGCCCCTCCTCCATTTCCTCCTCTATACTACTCCTCATATTCCTGTTCATCCTCCTCTTCCTCCTCCTCCTCCTCGTCCTCTCCTTCCTTCTCTCTCCCACAGTCCTTTTTCATGCGATGTGTCTCATCCTCGACTTCCGCCGCTGCCGCCTCCTCCTCCTCTCCCTCTCCCTCCTCCTCCTGAGACCCCGATTTGATTCTTAAGGATTTTGCGCATGGTGTTGTCCGAAGCGCGGGGTTCCCTCCCTTACTGCAACTCGGCGGCGATCCCAAGCGGTTGGAAGTGAGAGGGCATGGTTCGGCATTGATGCGACGTTGGGGCTGCGGAGACCCGACCGAAACGGAAGCGTTGATTCGTGCGCGCCGCCAGTTTCTAGCTCGCGTTGCTGATCGAGGTCGGTTCGGGAGAGGACCACTTTGCTTATTGAGCCGGATGTTCACACTTCATCGCCACGGGAGCTGCACGCCGCGAGCGTTCCTGGACCAGCGCTCCAGCCGGACAGTCCGTCAGGGGCGGCGTCTGCTATCCTTCCTCCTCCGCGGCGAGAGGCGGGCGACGGAAGGAGGGGAGGAGGGAGGAGAGGGGATACAAGGGGGAGAGGGGGAGAGTGCATGGAAGACGGGGGGATACGAGAGGGGGAGGTGGGGAGAAGAGGGGATACGAGGGGGGAGGAAGACTAAAACAGGGTTAGGATCGGGATGCATCGATCCAGAGCGTTCCGGAGCGCTCTCAGAGCGTTCTGGAACGCTCTGGAGCGGCCGCGGCGCCCAATACATCCTCCAAACCCGCCGATTCTCAGAGATTTCGAGTTATCCCGATCCGATTTTGTCCCGATCTTCGCGTCGCTTCAAAGACTGCGAGACGGACGGGGGGAGAGGGCATGGGAGCGGGCGACGAGGGCCATCGCCGCCCGCTTCCATCGGTGGGGGCAGGGGAGCGGCCCGGGGGGCCTCCTGGCGGACGCAAGGCCGCGAGCTCACGATCGGAGCGGTAGTGGCAGGGCAAGGCGTGCCCCCCTTTGGGTGGGTGTGCGTTACGTACATCGCGAATGGACTATCCTGTTCCCTCTTGTCCCCGAGGTGAGAGGGCTGAGGAGGGAACGAGGGACTTGGGGTTCACAGGCATGCCGTCTTTGCATCGCCCAGTACATGCGCGCTGCCCAGTGGCCATGCAGGATGTCACCCTGCGCGGACTCGGGGCGACACAGCTGGGGCCGCGCGCAGTCTCTGCGCGGCGCAAGCCACACAAAAGGCTGGGCGATAGGACAGGAAGCGCGCGCACGCATCAACAAGGACCGACAAGACTGTAGGACCTGCCGGGGGCGCAGGGACATCGATAAGGGGAATTACGAACCAAAGAAAATGAGAATGAGGAGGAGGAGGAGGAGGAGGAGGAGGAGGAGGCATGAGGAGGAAGAAATGGGGAAACCACGCGCCCAACAACATGCCCCCTGCCACCAGTCTGCTTGACGTGTCCTCGCTCGCTCCCTGAGCCCTGTGGGGGGGAGACGGCGGGAGGGGAGGGGGCAGGTCACCCGCAGGGGCCAGGGCTCCAGACACTTCCTTGGAGCGCCCGAGGGTGCTTCCCAGGACGCGTCCTTGGAACATCCGGAAGGCATTTGCCAGGACTCTTCCTTGGAAAACCCGAAGGTACTCTCGACGACGTTTCGCTGGGACGCCCAGAGCTGCTTTTTGTTCCCAGGGGGATCGCTGGGCGCGAAGATCGGCGCGGTCCCCGGAGCTGCCCCCTTGCCGGGAGGAACGCGCGCCCTCTCCCCCGCTTTCCTCGGTCCCTTCCCCCTCCTCGCCCCCCATGTCTTACGAATCCTCCGCCTCCTGTCCCCCCCGCCCTTCCCTCCTTTTTCCATCCCACTTCGTTCTTGTTTTGCCTCGTTGTCCTTTCTCCTCCTCCTTCTCCTCCTCCTCCGCATTCTTCATCACCTCCCGCCATCGTCCTGTGGCAGCCATGCTCCTAATTGTCCTCCTCCTCCTCGAATTCCTCCTCACTCCTCATCTTTCCCTCCCCCAATCCTACTCGAGACCCCTCTAGTTCATATCATCATCATCATCATCATCATCATCATCATCATCATCATCATCATCATCATCATCATCATCATCATCATCATCATCATCATCATCAACATCATTGCCCTTCTCGCCTCTTTCCTTCTCGCCGTCGTCACCCTCCTCTTTCTGCTGTTTGCATGGCACGGTGATGCAACAGCTTTGCTTATCTCCACACCTTCCTCGACCTTTAGCGCCAGTGGCGTTGAGTTGACTGCGACGCGACCTCAGCCGCGTCCTGCATTGGTGGTGTAATCGACGGTTACATGTGCGGGGAGGACTGAGCGGCCGCTGCAATCTGATTCCCAATCCGATATTGTGCGCCAGCGCTCATACGGGCTGAGTGTAGCGCTCAACGAGCGCACGGGGGCGGAGGTCATGGCAATGCGTGGCCCTTGAGTTGTTCGTGGGCCCTGTTGCCTCCATCGCGAAATGATCGTTGTCCCATTCCTCCTGTTCCTCGTGCCCCTCGTCGCGGCAGGGCGTGGCCCGCGGAGCGCGTGCGATGATACTTGTGTGTGTGTGCGTGCTCCTCCTTGCCCGCGAGGAGAGAAAGTCCCTCCTCCTGCTCTTGCGGCTGCTGCGGCTCCTCCCCCTCCCCAGGGGGGACGTGCACCACCGAGGAGGCAAAAGCACAAAAGGTCCGCACCGCTGGCTGCTCTCGCATGGTCGTGCGCCCGCGCGGATGCCGTGCGGCCACGTGTGCGTGCGCGGGGGCCGCCGCCCGCCGCGGAGGCCGCCGTTGAGGCCGCCGCCGAGTGCCGCCGCTGAGGCCGCCAGGAGGCAGCGAATCCTCCCTCCTCCTCCTCCTCCTCCTCCTCCTCCTCCTCCTCCTCCTCCTCCTCCTCCTCCTCCTCCTCCCTCTCCTCCTCCCGCAGCGGGCGTGCCAGATGCCCTCTTCTGCGCGGAACCCGTTTTGCGGGCCGCGCCCGCCTTCGCCCGCGCGTCGGGTGGTCACCTTCCGGAGTGCCAGCCCCGCCTGCCCGACTTGGGCGTCGCTTGAGTCAGGACTGGAAGAGGAGAAGTGATGAGGGATGTCGGGCATGGGTGATGGAGCATGGAACACGGGATTGGCACTCCCCCCAAAGACAGGCCCGAGGATGAGGAAGGAGGAGGAAGGATAGGGACGGATGGAGGGAAGA